CAATGGTGTACAACTACCGGCCAAACGGAAAGGCATATTTGCAAAAATGTTGGTGAATGGGGAAGAAGTAACGCTCCAACTAGATTCTGGTGCGTCCATCAACATTATACCGAGAAATTTTCTACCCGATACCCTACCCAGACGAGATTAGTTATGTGGAACGGTGCAAACGTGGAGCCGAAAGGAAAAACCACTATTACACTGAAGAATCCCAGGAATGGAGTCTCTTCTGTCGTAAGTTTTGTCGTCGTGGAGCCGGGTTATGTTCCAATTCTTGGATACGAATCCATCAAGCGACTTGGTTTGGTATCGTTTAACTATTATTCATTTGTTCATCTCGTTTGTAATGACAGTGAATACTACCTGAAAAAGTATGCTTCTGTTTTCGATGGAAAACTGGGAAAGTTGCCAGGAGCTATGACACTTCACATAAACGACGCAGCCGAGCCCGCTGTTTTACCAACGCGGCGGACCCCACTTGCTGTTAGAGAGGAATTTTCGCGTGAAGTGAATAACCTTATCACAAAGGGCGTTTTGGAGAAAGTCGATGAACCAACGGACTGGGTGAGTCAGGTTGTGGTGGTGACGAAAAAGTCTGGAGAATTGAGAATATGTATCTATCCAAAACCATTAAACAAGGCATTAAGACGGGAGCACTTCACTCTACCCATTTTTGACGATATACTGCCGAATTCAGCCAATGCAAGATACTTCACGAAGGTGGATTTAGCCTCTGCATTTTGACATTTAGAGCTAGACGATAGATCAAGCTAATTGACCACTTTTGGCACGCCACTTGGGCGATATCGTTGGAAAAGACTACCGTTCGGTTTGAAAGTATCAAGTGAAATTTTTCAGAAACGAATCCTTCAAGCGGTAGATGACTTACCCGGTGTTTTGTGCATGGCGGACGACATTCTAATTTTTGGCAAAAATGCAGATGAACACAACGACGGTTCGAAGGCTTTTTACAGCTTTGTATATGAGACGGAATCAAGCTGAAACAGGACAAACTAATCTTTTGTCAACCGGAATTCAGCTTTCACGGTCACGTACTTACAAGTGAAGGGATCAAACCGGACCCGGAAAAGGTAAAAGCGATTGTAGAAATGCCTCCCCCAATCGATGCAAAAGGCGTATCACGATTCAATGGAATGATAAACTATCTCAGTAGATTTCTCCCAGAACTAGCGGAATTGATGCGGCCGATTCGACGTTTGACGCATAAAGGAGAACCGTGGTTTTGGACACAAGAACAACAGGCGGCTTTTGATCGCATCAAGCAACTTATTGTAAAAGCCCCAGTGCTAGCTTACTTCGATCCCAATGCACCTCTATGCATACAATGTGACAGCAGTCAATTTGGCTTAGGTGCCGTGCTCCTTCAAAATGGCCGTCCATTAGATTACCGGAGTAGGACACTAACGACCTGTGAACAAAGGTACGCCCAGATCGAGAAAGAAATGCTAGCAATTGGTTATGCGCTGGAGAAGTTGAGTGATCACACATTTGGTCGACTCACGCATGCATACTCACATCACAAACCACTGATCATGATTGTGGATAAGCCACTCCCCACAGAGCACCAAGGAGGTTACAATCGATGATGACACGTCTATAGAAATACAATTATGAACTGCATTACGAACAAGGTAAACGCATGTTTGTGACGGACACGTTGTCACGAGCCACACTACCCGACACAGGATAGAAACAAAAGCTGGAATCCGTGAGCGTTGCATTGGCGGTGACGCAGTGCGAGATGTCTCACATACGAACTGCATCTATTGACGATCCGAGCATGCGAGAACTCAAAGGAGTTATCCCTCGTGGTTGGCCAGAAAGCAAAATGGCCTTTCGATGGACGTACTGCCCTACTTTAAATTCCGAGATAAACTAACTGTGCTCGATGAACTGATGGTGAAAGGTTGGTCGTACCAAAAGTGATTCAACAAAACGTAGTGCGTCTGATACATTGCTCTCACGCCGGTACCAACGGATGCCTCAGCCGCGCCAGGGAGACATATTATTGGCCGGGTATGTCAGAACGAATAAAACAGTGGGTTGTTAAATGTGAAATATGCAGGAAGTTTGACCAGTGACAAACGAAGGAACCGATGAATATGCGTGCAATACCAGAGAGACCATGGCAAATGATAGCGCTGGATATTTTTTATCACGGAAAGGACACCTACTTGATAACTGTTGACTACTAAAGCGACTTTTTCGAAGTTGATTTACTGCGATCCAGCACATCGGCGGAGATCATTGATAAACTGCGCGTTCATTTCGCACGACACGGAATACCACTTCAGGTGATTTCCGATGGTGACCCCCAATTTCGTAGAACCGAATTCCTGAAATTCAGTGAACAATGGGGTTTTGAGCACCACGTTACTAGCCCCTATCATAGTCATTCCAATGGCAAGCAGAAAGCGCAGTCAAACAAGCAAAGAAGCTTATAAAAAATGCGGTGCGGATGGTAGCGACACACTAATGGCCCTGCTCGAGTAACGGAACAAACCGTCGGCCAACATGGGAACCAGCCCAAGCCAACGTTTATTTGGCAGATACACGCACGGTTCTACCCATTTGCGACCAGTTACTACAGCCACAGACTACGCCATCAATAATCATACAGTCAAGGCTAAGGAAACGCATGGCGCTACAGAAGAGCTATTACGATTGCGGCAGTACACCTCTGTGCTCACTCAGATCAGGAGACACGGTGGGATACAACCACTGAAGCCAACGGAAAAGGTGTGGGCGAAGGGATAAGTGATAGCGCGAGCAACAAAAACATCGTACCTAGTATGCTGTGGTCAACGGATAATTCGGAGAAATAGAGTTCATTTGAGGAAAGGGGAAGAGAATGGTGAAGAAAACGAACAAAGAAACGATCCAAATACCATTCAGGAGGATGTAGAAATCTGTGTAAAAGATCCGTAGCAAGGAATACAAACGACGGGTATGACAGCACAATCTCCATCCCGAACACAAAGCGGAAGAACAAACCAATCAGGATCATAATGAAAAACATTCAAAAGAACAAGGATGTGTTGGAAAGTCTTGGTTGAGTTGATCGTTTGTTTTACTGCATCAATTATATTTTTATGATTGGTCCGCGCAGGACATTAAATTTACCCGTCGAACAATCTGATTGGTTCACGGTTATATATAAACCCTGTGATTGCCTTACCAAATGTGATTCGTGTCCAGTGGACTAGGGAAAATAACCCGAGAGCACTTCCTGAAGAACTGACATTTGACAGTTCCTATTTTCAAGAAAGGATCTCGCAACGATGGCGAAAACCACCGCGGGATCAGTTTGATCCCGATCGTCACCAAAGTGCTA